ATTTTTTGTTTTTTTTAATGTGATGCTGGGGATCAAAGTCAGTGACTCACGCATGCTAGGCAAGCACTCTACCACGGAGCCACAACCCCGGCCCCAAGCAGTATTAATTCTGAACAGATAGGAATTAAAATACTATCAATTGCAATAAGCACATTTACAAATTAATTGAGCACTTATACATTAAGTACTTCCAGGAGACCCCTAAATTCATCGAATCCTTGCAACAATCCATTTTACACACCCTTGTTTTATGAACAATGAAGTGGAAAGATGGAGTAGCTCACCTAAAGATATGCATGCCTAGGTGGTCAGGAATCTGAACCTAAGTCTGTTTGGCTCCGAAATTTCTATTCCATCAGCCCCACTGCACACTCCCTCAAACTATTCACTTAGAATTATATTTGGTGCAAATGGATTTTATGAATTAGGAACTAGGACTCTTTTCCTGCAATGAGGTGGGTGGGCTGACTTCTTTGGAAAAGGTCAATGTCTGTTACAGGAATTTTAGACCAAAGTGCTGATTTAAAATATTTCCCAAGGGAACCAAGGGGAGAGTGACTTTCATTTACTAAGTCATATTTTAGGCCAAAATAATATTAAATAATAATAACTAGGTGCTAGATTCTGCACTAAGAACCTAACATCTATCATGCCCCTTAATCATTCCAAGGAGGCCAGAGAGACAGGTATTATTATCCCTAATTTCCCAGATGAGGGATCTGGGGCACAGGGGGGTAAACTTGTCTAACAGAGCACAGTAAGATGGATTTAGATTAATCAGAACCCAAGGCCCCACGTTTGTGCCCCCCAGTCTATATTGCCTGCTAGCTTTCTCTCCCTCTCTCCCTCCCTCCCTTCCTGCGTCTTTTTCTTTCTTCTTTTAATTTCCTTACTCCTTTCCCTGTCTTCCTCTCCTTTCTTTTCCTTTTTCCTTCCTTTTTTTTCAGGTGGAAAATGCTAGTTTAACTGCCAGTCGAGAGGCCTCTGACGACTTTTAGGGTGCAATTAAAAGGTTCTGGGGGTGATTCAGGAAGGAAAGAAATACACTGAATATTTACTGGGTACCAAGCAGCATGCTTTTGTATGTCTTGTCTCATTGAATCCTATACACATCCATAAAGAGCAGGCTCTCTTATTACAGCTATTTCAAAATGAGGAAATTGGGGTTTGAAATGGTGTCGTGCACAAAGTCACATGTTTTTTAAAGGCTAGAGCCAGGATGCACCAAGACCGGCTCACCTAAGTCTACTGCCAACTTGCATCACGATTGCCATTATTTTCTCCTTGCTCGGTGCTATACTTTTCAGGGTAGTGGAGAAAATTTTTCTTTTTTTGGATGACAGTTGTCAACCCCTTGTCTCAGGAACCTAATAAGGGTCCACCTAGATTTCAAAGTCTCTTAATAACCTGTCCTTCCGTTATTTCATTCGTTTTATCCCTCCTCCCCCCACTCTCTCCTCTCCACTGGCTGGAATTGCTATCACTCGACCTTTTACATTCATTTCCATTCTCAGGCCTCCTAGTTGACAGACATCGCTCAACTTCAGCATCTCATCATTCAGGTTCCATCTATGCCAGTCCTCACTTGCAGCCCTGATCAAAACCTTTCATCCATAACCCTTTATCTGCTCAATGTACCCAGACTTCCCAGGCTGGCATTCCAGCCAGTCATTCAGTTGCAAATATGTGCTGAGAGTTAATTATGTGCCAGACACTCTCCAGGTTCTGGGAGAACCACCAAGAACCGGACAGACCGGTCACTGCCCTTAAGGTGAACACACTTGGTATTAAATAATTACAAATAATCAATTAAATAATTACTAGTATGAATCAAGTAATTACCAGGCCCTCTACCATCTGGTCTCAGCCTATCTTTTCAGAGTCATCCAAATGGGCTGACCTTTCCAGGCTTTCCCACCTTTGAGGCTGTGTCTGCTCCCTCCTTCCTTTTCTGAATACAAGCGCTTTCCTGCTTCACGCAGAATCCCTCCAGGACCAGTTCTGATTCTGCCTCTTCCAGGAAGCCCTGCCAGCCAACTCAAGACTGAAGGATCTCCCCTCATTTCAATTCCTAGCACTTATCCATTCAACAAATATTTACTGAATGACTTGTTGGAATGTTTGATGAGTGACTCTTCATGAGATCCTAAACACATGCTAAGACATTAAAGATTTAAATGGTACAGGGAGTTACAGTTTTCTTATTCATAGGGATCACAGATTGTTTTCTTCTTTTCCTCTTTGTGGGGAGGGGAATCCATGAAACTATGTAGTAGATCATATGAGATTACAGATGAGCAAAATGATAATAAAAAATTATTCAGTTACTCGTAATCCTACTAAAGAGACCTACTATTGACATTTTTCTTTCCAGCATTTTCTCTTGCTATTCTCTCTGTCTACACCCAGTTTGTAAAATTCTTTTTCCCTCCAGATTATAATTTTATCAATAAATCTTTTTTCTTATGGTCTTTTTAAAAACATAAAGTACCTTTACCTGAATCCCTGACTTTTTTCTACTTGGGTATGAAATAGTTTTTGTCTTAAACAAAACCTAATTGATAGACATTGTTCAATGCAGTAATACATACATATAATCCTAGCTAGATTAGTGGTAGAGGATCCCTTGGTTCAATCCCTAGTACCAGGGGAGTAAAGTGGGTGGGCTAGGGACATAGCTTAGCGGTAGCCTATCATGTTTGAGGCCCTGGATTCAATCCCCAGTACAACAACAACAAAAACCAAAACGAAAACAAACAAAAAACCCCCAAACCTAGATAATCTACTGAGACTCATCCATCTTTTCCAATTCATTGATCCTATGTACAGTAAGAACTAAAACATTATTTCAGAGCATTTATTTCAGGAAACCTTTCTCTTGACTTTTTCCCCTCCTCTGGTGGTACTGGGAGTTGAACCCAGGGCCTTGTGCATGCTAGGCAAACACTCTGCTACTGAGCTATATACTTAGCCATTTTTATTTTGAGACAGGTTCTCACTAAATTTCTCAGACTATGTTCCACCTGAGTAGCTGGGATCACAGGCATGTGCCAACGCACCTGGCCCAGGAATCTTAAGACCCACTCTGGATGCTCTTTTGTTTTGTGGTACTGGGGACTCATGGCTTTGTGCATGTTAGGCAAGTGCTCTACCACTGAGCCACATCCCCAACCTGTATGCTCTTTTGAACAACACCATTTCACCTCTTTTATTTAAGACTTATATGTGTGGATTGCCTAGGTCTACAGTGTAGCCACATTCATGGGTGAGGAGCCAGGTTCCATCTATGCCAGTCCTCACTTGCAGCCCTGAGCAAGACCTTTCAGCAATAACCCTTTATCTGCTAAATGTACCCAGACTTTCCAGAATGTGCAGACTAGAACACAGGGGATCTTCTGGTCCATGCCCCCACCTTAAGGATGAGCGGGGGCAGTACATGTTAAGCACTTGCCTAAGCTCATGCTCTGCCTGGTTATTTTTCCAAACTGTTTCAGTTTTTCTAATAATAAACTCCATACTAAATTTACACAAAAGAGTAGTCAGTGATGCACTAACTCTTGCTAAATAAATCCTATCTATCTCCAAAAAGGAAACAGTAATGCAGTTTGGTAGATACCAGGCTTGTTTTGAAATAAAAGAGAACTTTTCTTCTTAGAAGTCAACATTGCTATGATAGGATTAAAGCACAGAAGAAACATTAGGGGCCACCTATCTCATTCTTTCTTTATGTTTGAAAAAACAGTATAACAAAGGGATGTAGGGAAGGGTTGGCCTTTGAGAATGAGTGGCAGCACAGGTTTTATGTATGTTCTGCTTGATCTGATCTCTTTACATGTCACCATGATCCAAGATGGCAATTTTACTAATCAAGAGAAATCCAAGGATTGTCGAAAAGTTAATTATCTTCAGAGACACCAACCCCACTTCATGACTGCTTTCCCAGCCGCAGTGTGAAGCCCCAGTAAGGTGGTCTCTCACCTTTCTTTTCTTTCTTTAAATTTTGAGACAGGGTCTCGCTAAATTGCTAAGGCTGGCCTTGAACTTGGGATCCTCCTTCCGTAGCCTCCCAAGTACCTGGAATTACAGACCTGAGCCACATCACCCAGATAGTCTTTTGCCTTTCTGAATTTTAAAACAATGACGGTATTGGAATCTCTTCTTACAGGAACCCCAAAGGGAGAGCCGTGCGCAGTCTTCATTGAGGCGAGAAGTGTAGTTTCAAGAGTTCTTCTAATGAACATTCCAGTGGTCCTGAAAGGCTTAACTAGGAGATGAAAGGCTCTGGGGTAGGGGTGGTGGGGGCGGGTTTGGGGTAGTATGAAAGCTGATCCACCAGGTTGCACTAGGGTAGAGGCAGATCTCAAGAGGTAGAGAATCAACTGAAAAGGAAGCTAGAGAAGACAGCTCTCTCCGGGGGTGCAACCCAGTTCCTTTCTCCTCTGCTCACTTTCAAAAGCCCCTTTAGGATGAAGAAAACCAGTGCTGCCCAGTGGGGCCCCTATCCACCCATGGTAAACAATGGGAGCGTCTTCCCTTCCAGCCTTTTCGCTCTGAATGAACTCTCAGCGTTACCTTTTAGGACCCACCTTCCCTCCTCACACACCCAATGAGGCCGGAGCCTCTTCCTGCCGGTGTTGAACTCTCCCAGGATATGGACAGGTGCCGTGGACCAATGGTCGGAGCGGCGGCGGGCCAATGGGAGAGAGCGCTGGGTCAACCTGGGGTTTGAGAATAGGAGAGCCCGCAGAGGGGGGCGGTGCGACAAAGGCGCAGGGGGTGGAGGGACCTGCGAGGCGGCTGGCGAGGCTGCCCCAACCAGGGGGAGAGGAACCTGTGGACTAGCCGCCGCCGCCAATGGGAGAGCGAGCTGGTACGGGGGCGGGCCCGGGGCTGACGGCACCGCCCCCCGGGTCCGCAGGGTTGGGGCGGAGCCAGACCCGCGTCAGGTGGTCCCGGGCGTGCGGGCGGCGCGGGGGGCGGGGCGCGGCGCGGGGCGGAGAGGGGAGCGGCAGCCGGCGGGCGGCGGCGGGCACCGGCAGCGCTAGCAGGTACCGGCGGCTGAGGTGGTGAGGCCGCCCCCGGGGGCGAGCGGGCAGGCGGGGAGTCCGGCCCGCCGCGCCCCTATGCTGCGGTGAGCGTTCGTGCTTGGCGCACTTGTCTCCCCGCAGCACCAGCCCGGGCCAGCCAGCTCTCCCCGCCCCGCCACCTCGGGCCCTACCTGCGGCCGCCGTCGGGGGAGGGGGGTCCCCCCAGCTCTGCGGAGCCGCATGAACAATAGGCGGCGGCGGCTCCTGCGGGCGGCGACAGCCCCGCACCCTATGGATCGGCCGCTCCATGGAGCCCTCCAGAGCGCTTCTCGGCTGCCTGGCGAGCGCCGCCGATGCCGCCCCGCCTGGGGAGAATGGAACTGGGGCCGGGGCCGAGGAGGAGGAGGAAGAAGAGGAGGAGGCGGCGGCGGCGGCGGCCCCCGGGGAGCTGGGCTCCGAAGCACCGTTGCCCTACTGGACGGCCGTGTTCGAGTACGAGGCGGCGGGAGAGGACGAGCTGACCCTGCGGCTGGGCGACGTGGTGGAGGTGCTGTCCAAGGACTCCCAGGTGTCCGGCGACGAGGGCTGGTGGACCGGGCAACTGAACCAGCGGGTGGGCATCTTCCCCAGCAACTACGTGACTCCGCGCAGCGCCTTCTCCAGCCGCTGCCAGCCTGGAGGCGAGGACCCCAGTTGCTACCCGCCCATTCAGTGTAAGATGAAGGCGGGGCTGGGGATCCGGCGGGGAGGTGGAAGGATGAAGCCCTGGGTGGTGGAGGAGGAAGGGGAACCCTTTAGGAGGTTTTTAGGGGTGGGGAACCTGGATAGATAATGATTGACCGGGGTATGGGTGGATGCGCGCGCTCTGGGGCTTGGGGTCTTTAGTTGATGCGGTGGATAAGCTAAAGAAGCCCCAGGCTTTGCCCGGAACTCAGGGGATTGGACTTCTTAACCTTCATCTGACTACCTTAGCAGCAGCTTCTGTTTTCCACATCCTGAAACCCCAGCATGAAAGTCTCCCCATTTCCCTATCCCTTCCTCTTCCAACTTGCCCTCCAAATCTGCAAAGATTTCAGGCAAGCTGATGGTTACTGTCTTAACCTTAGTTTCCAAGTCAGGGACCTTGCCGACCTCTTCTATGGGCTGTCCCCGCCTCTTAAAGGTATTTGCTTTGAGAGAGATGGAGGTGTCTCCCGAAGGGCTGGGCTGGCTCACAAGACCCGGAAGCGTGTGTGAACTCAGGGCCAAGTGCCTCCGAAATGTCGTGTTGATTTCTGGGATCCTAATCCTGTATCTCAGAAGTTGTACCTTTAGGAGTCTCACTGAGTATTGTGCTAAGAAACAGGGGAGGGCAAGTGATGGGTGGAGAAATGATTAGAAGGAGAAAAGTATGTCGTTCCCCTTGAAAAGTTAAGGAGCACAGGTACAGTGGCTAAGTCCCAGTCACTCTTTAGACAATACATTTTCTGTTTTCTTCTCACCCTAGATCCTTGCCTATATTTGGAATTGGCTAAATCTCAAGGGGTTCATACCCAGGGTTCCCTCCCAGGGCCTTTCTCCCAGTGTCCTGGTTTTCATCAATTTCCCAGGAGCCCCCCTGTTCCACACCCTGTAATGAAATTTCCTTTTTTTTTTTTTTTTCCAAAGGAGTTAAATTGCTATTAAAATCCCTTAATCAATTATACTTTGTCATTTTAGAAGGAAGGTAAATACCTCCTAGTGCAGTTTACACTGTTTTGTATTTGAGAATTTACATAATTTCCTCCCTGTTACAAAATATTGCTAATATATATTGATTACTGCTTATTCCATATTTTATATACTTAGCATCGTAGTTGACTTAAAAAATCATTACCAAGGGCTAAATTTGAGTAGTCTTAAATTTTCATTCATAAGTTTTATCTTCTTGTCCTGTAACTTATTTTCATAAGTTAACACTTGTGTTACTTTGTCTTAAGATGTGTTTTAAATACTAGCACTTAATGTCAAAAACATAACCTCTTTCCTTGTTTTTCTGTTTTTCTTTTGGTGGTTTGACTGTTAAAGTAATATTCAAATTTTCACTTCTTGTTCTTTCTTTTTCCCTCTCATTCAATTTAAAACTTCATCTTGATCTTTATAATGGCTGTAAGTGGCAAATTACTTTAATTTTTTTCTGGGTGCTACATCTTCTTGGCTCTGGTATTGGTAAGATGAGGGCCATGCAAAGGTCCTGGCATAGTGTTTTGAAATAGCGTTGAAGATGAATGTGGCCATATGTTGGAAGACATACAAATAGTCTGGCATGTTAGAAAACAGTGTAATGTTAAATGTAAGTCAAATTTTGTGAGTTAAAAATTCTATGATTTTAATTTTAGGGACAGCTAATGTCAGAGTAGAAGAGTTCTGTGAAGGTCATGAGCAGGAACTCAGTTTCTTCAGTGTCTTGTCCTCACGGCTGTCCACACTTAGGAGTGAATGTGTCTTAGAGAGCCAGACATGTCAACAGTGTTCTTACCTACAGGAGCTCTTTTCCTGAAAGGTGGCCTGACCTTATCTTTTTTTGTAGCAAAAGTTACCTTGGATAGAATGGATTCCTAAATATAGAACCCAAATGATGGGAAAGAAGGCATCTTTCTCTTATGCTTATTGAAAGAATTGACTTCAAGAACATGGTGTTTGAAAGTCCCAGTAAGTGCTCTTATTTGGCCTCATTTGGATCTCTTATCTTGACTGAAATTAATTCTTGATAATTCAGAAATCTTAATTCCAGTCAAAAACTGATTATTGAGTATCTAAGGAATGATAGATACTATGTCAAATGCCAGGGAATAAAGAAATGATAAGATATGAGGTGCTTATAATTTACATGAGGGAAATTGGTGGTGTAAATGTAAAATGTCAGTGTGGTACTTTGATAAGGAGATGTACATCTCTTATCTGCATGCCCTGTCCACCAGTTCAGTTGGGGTCACTCAGAAAATAAAGGTGAATGACAAACCTTGTCTCCAAAGACTCAGAATAAAATTGAGCCACTGACAACTCTTCTTCAGAGTTGCCCTTTTAAACTTCCCTGGGGCATGTATTTTAGCATTACATTCTGGTTCATAAATGGAACACAGGAAGTCAAGCAGTAAAGTGTTCATGATTAGCTTCATAGTATTGTTTCTCAAAATGAGAACTTTGTTTCAAACTTTATTCAGAACTAAAGAGAAAATTACTAAATCTTGCATCAAAGAAAAAATATGATAGTGATAATATAAACCATCTTTCATTTACATAGTGCTTTTATCCCCTCCAATGTAGGTTTTAGAGTTTAGCTCTGAATGGATGACAAATGTAAATAACCTGGGAACACATTCTTCTCTATTTTAGTAAGTGATTTAAAAATGTACAGTTCCAAATGTATCATTCTGGGAAATATAATCCTAAGTATTTTTTTTTAAAGTTTCTCTTAGGAGAGTATGTCTGCTTTCAAGTAGGGCATACATTAAGGTCAGCATTGATTTACATTATGAATATACGCTTCTTTTTCCTACATCCTCTAGAAATAGAAGGATATATTTTCAGGTGTTCATACGATTTTTAAATGAACAGGATAGATACCACTCACTTGCCTCAAACCCACCAGAATGTGCCTATACATTGTTTCTAAACATGCAATTGAGAGGGAATAACATCTTGACACCAAAAATGAAATAGGTTTTGTTCCTGGTATTCCTTCTGAGGAAGGATATTCCTGGAAATATCCTTCCTCAGAAACTGAAAAATGTGCTGAATGCAAGTTGACCTGATTCTTGTTTAAAACCAGGTCTTGACTGGAACAGAAGCGGGGAAGAGCCTCACGTACTCACTGCTGCAACTGAAGGTCCAGTTCCTTAACTCCCATCCAGGGGGACTTCTTAGCAGGGAAGCAGGAAAGAAAAAAACAACCCCATTTCCCATCTTCTGTCTTTTATGTTTGAAAGCTGAACTTCTGTTCTATACTTTTCTTGAAGGCTGGTCATAAAGGTTCCTTAACTAAATTAAAAAAAAAAAAAAGCCTGAGATTTTATGTTCTACCCTAAGAGGTTTCCTGCCTTCTGTGAGATGCTGTTGGAGGAGCTGTCCTTTCAGCACCCTTGTCCTGAATCACATCTTGTATAGCCACATGCATTTAAATAAATATTGAACACCTACTTTGTGTTGACAGTATGTTTCAGACCAGAGGAAAGAAGGAAGACTATATAAAAAAAAATACAACAGTTCCTTCAGGAGAATTCAAAGGCTCCGTTGAGGAAATAAGATAATAAATACTAAGTTGAATACTAAGTTGGAGATGCACATAGCTTTATCAGTGTGAATGCTGGTATGGGGGAAAAAAAAGAATGATTTCCTCTTTGACCAGAGACTCTTATATATTTCTCCAAGAGGAGGAAGAGGATGATGATGATGATGATGATGATAATGATAATGATGATTGGCACTACCGATTGAACTCAGGGGCATTAAATCACTGAGCCACATCCCCAGCCATATTTTGTATTATATTTAGAGACAGGGTCTCACCAAGTTGCTTAGCACTTCACTGTTACTGAGACTGGTTTTGAACTCACAATCCTACTGCCTCAGCCTCTTGATCTGCTGAGATTATAGGCATGTGCCACAATGCCCAGCTCCAAGAGGATTCTTAATCTCTCATTAACATAGGCATGTTTTTTCATTCATATAAATGACGTCAGGCAAAAATTAGTAATCAGTCAAGATTCATTTTCAGGACTCAGAAATACTCATTTTAAATAAGATAGGGATTTAGCATAAAAAATTAGGTGCTCACGGAATTGTTGGAAGGGCTGGGAGAAGAGGCTTTTGGCTGGACCTCTGGGAAGAACTTCCAGAACATTGCAGAACTGGCCTACCAGGAGACCTGCCACTTCTCTCATTGGGAAGGTTACAGAATCTGGAGCTGCCATGGAAGATGTTGACTTCAAGAACACCGTGCCGTATCTGCAACCAAGAGATTAGGCATCCATTTGGCTATGAAACATTCCTTCCTCCATCCACAGAGCTAGTGATTGAATACTCACACTCGATTGCAGAAAGCCATACTTGCCAGAAGGAGCAGTGAGAAGATGGTCTCCACCTCACTTCTGCCTTGCAAATCCTGTGCATCCAGTTGGTGAATTTAATTTGCACCCAGAACTTTAGCTATAAGGGAGCCTGGGAAATGTAGTTTTTAAAGTTTCTGGCATATGCATGCTAGAAGGATTTTGGAATGGCTGCTAGGGTCTAGATTTAGTGTCTTCCATACCATTTATTTTTCAGGGAAACTTCCAGATGAAGTTGAAACATTTTTGTGTGTGTGGTGCTGGGGACTGTACCCAAGGCCTTGTGCATGCGGGGCCCGTGTTCTACCACTGAGCTCTATCCCAGCACCAAGACAATAACATTTGGCATTTTGGGGGTCAAGATGCTCTCTACCTTCTGTATACCTAAAGGCAGTTACATCTAACATTTCCTAAGCATTTCCTTTGTGCAGACTGTCAATTGTATTGCAAAACACAAATGAATATCAGCTCCAGATAGGATGGAAGTACTATAATTAAGCAAGAACAGATTTTTGAACACCACCAGCATCTGAATGGAGAGCGGGGGTGTCGTGGGGCTGGCCAAGTAAGGAAGGGAACAGCCAGCAGTGGGCAGTTCCTCCATTGGTCTTGCCAAAAGTTCAGAAATATATGTTTGTTTTCTTAGTTTTTTAGTAAAGTGTGATGATTCTCTGTGTTTGTTTCAGATGGCCCAATTTACTTTTACAGATCAGAATTTGGTTTATTTTCTACTGAGATAGATTAAAATATATATATATATACACATTAGTTGTTGGTCGACCTTTATTTTATTTATTTACATGCGGTGCTGAGAATCAAACCCAGTGTCTCACTCATGCCAGGTGAATGCGCTACAGCTTAGCCACAGCTGCAGCCCCTGAGGTAGATTTTTGTTGGTGTTATTTTCATTTTATTTCAGTGATCTCTTGGTCACCTACTAAATGTTTGGCACGGTGAATACAGTAGTGAAAAAGGCTAACAGAATATTTGCCCTTTTGAATTTCATGATCTAGCAGGAAAATAGTCATCGGACAAGTATTTAAGTAATTTATAACCTTGATGATTCTTGCAAAGTGGAGATTGTTATCAAAAGTCCAATGGGGGAGGGCTTGACTTCATTGGTCTGGGGGCTAAAAGTTCTATGAAATTGACATTTGAAACTGGAGGAATGAATTTAAATCAGCCAGGTAAAGACAACAGAGAACAGGGTTTATGAGAGAAACAGAAAATAACATTTTGCTCATAACAGCACTTAACACCATAACTAGCCCAAGATTTATAATCACTGGTAGCTATTATTATCTACCCATGAAAACCTTTACAAACAGAGCAAAAGGTATAATCAAGTACCTTAGGTTCAGACTCTGGATTTGGGAAGGAGAATGAGTGTTTGGGTGATACTGGAAGCACTGGGGATTGAGCTGGGGGCAGGTGTCTCTGGAGTAAGATGTCTCCTGTGAGGCTCCTTTCCCATACATGTCAATCATCAGGTCCTGGTAGAACCAAATTCTGCCAGTCTCCCAGGTGGACTCAGTCCTCCCATCCTCACTGCTGCTGAGAGTCAGCACGCTTGAGTCCCCCACAGTGGCTTTCTCAGTGGCCCTTTGCCTTTCAAGTTATACTGTACATGGCTGCCCGAGTTGCCATCCTTCCTAAATCACAGGTCAAACAGCCCTACCCTTCTGAAAACGACATGACTCCTGTTGTTTACAGTGTGACATTCAAGCCCTTCAGATTGGCCTGAAAGCATTTCACTACCTGGTTATCCCCCAAAAGTCTTCGAGCCTCGTCTCCTATCCCAGTGCATATGATCCAGGCACACTGGACTCCCTTGGTTTCCTAATATATCATGTACTCTCATGTCCCATGTACTTGCTCATGTTCTTCCCCCTGTCTGATTGTCCTTCACCCTGTTCTCCTTCATCACCTGATGAGATGCCTTCCATGTCAAGTGTTATCTTCCTTGAGACTTCTTCTTCATTCACCTTCTTACTCTCCTGTCCTGTTATGAGAGTCAGTGTGATCAGATTTCTACAAACACTTTTTCTCAAGCTGTGGTAAGGCTGTAGTATGTCTGCCCTGGCCCTGGGTTGTGTGCCTCTCACCAAGTACACAGTGAATAGGTCCCAGCTAAGGATCCCTGATGTTCCCTTTAGTTATCGTGGTTGGTCTTAGAGGAGGCTCCCTGGTTTTCCATGTAGAATTTATTCTATGAATATTTATTGAATGTCCACTATGTGCTGCTGGTCACTAAGAATAGTGCAAATGAAAAAAAGAGGTTGATCCCAGTTCTTGCTCTTCTGGAGTTTACTTTATAACGAATGGGGAGACAGAAGAGCCCAGGGAAAGGACAAACTTGTTACGTTCACCCATTGAGGTAAATGAGTGGCAAATGTGTTGAGGATGTTCTTGACATCTTTCTTTCTTCCTTTTCAGTGTTAGAGATTGATTTTGCGGAGCTAACCCTGGAAGAGATTATTGGCATTGGGGGCTTTGGGAAGGTCTATCGTGCTTTCTGGATAGGCGATGAGGTAGCCGTGAAAGCAGCTCGCCACGACCCCGATGAGGACATCAGCCAGACCATAGAGAACGTTCGCCAAGAGGCCAAGCTCTTCGCCATGCTGAAGCACCCCAACATCATTGCTCTTAGGGGTGTGTGTCTGAAGGAACCCAACCTCTGCTTAGTCATGGAGTTTGCTCGCGGAGGGCCTTTGAATAGAGTGTTATCTGGGAAAAGGATCCCCCCGGACATCCTGGTGAACTGGGCTGTGCAGATCGCCAGAGGGATGAACTACCTACATGATGAGGCAATCGTCCCCATCATCCACCGCGACCTTAAGTCCAGCAACAGTGAGTAGTAGGAAGAGCTGGGCTGGAGGGTTAATGGCACCTTCACTCTAAGGCCGTGGCCTCAGTAGGAGTGGATTCCCCGTGGAACCTTGCCTGAAATATTCCATTCTTGAGTGGGAGGGGATGCGGGAGTGGAATGAGTGCCAGGGAAAACTGGTGGGATAAGTTTGAACTCCAATTAGCAGGCAAGGTTGGCAATATGTAATTCTGATACGTGCTGCAAGAACACATTTATTTTTCCCACTTGAGGGAAGTTGTGTAGGTAATCAAAGACGGATTTCCCTCTTTGTGGAACAGCAAGTAAAAGCAGACCTGTGCCACCTGCTTGAATTTCTGCCTAAACACCTCAACTTAAGGTACCCACCAGAGAAGAGACCATCAGAAGAAGGGGCAAATTTTTTAAATGGTGAGCTGATTGAGATGACAGTGCCAGTTTGGAGAACATGACCTGGCTGGTAGTGTTACAGACCTCCGGGTAGCCCAGAGATGGCATTAATCCCAAAACTACCTGGTATTTAATAGCAGGGAACTGAGAAGTAACTGTTTATTAAACACCCAGTATCCATAAACTGGATTGTAAAGCAAGTGTTAGGTATAATTAAATAGCAAGTTGGTAGTGATTTCCGTAGTTCACCAGGGCTGAATCAGAGGACCTAGGAATACGCTTTATTTGTGGGGTGGTTTGTGTTGTCTCCTGCCTAACCTGATTGTAGACAGCATACAGTTGCTTAAAGGAATATGCTTAAGATCACTTTGAGCATCCTGTCCCAGAGAGCTGGGCATTTGAGTTGAAGGACTTTGGGGGTGACATGGGCCCCAGGGACTTCACTCTCTCTGTGTTCTTCTGTTTTAAGCCCAGAAATCCTTCAGACCTTGTTTTGTTCCAAGTTGTTCCAGATGTGGTTATTTTTCTGTTAATGTTCTTGTTAATCAGTTTACTTTAAAAATTGCATTGTTGTAGAAAACTTAGAAAGTACACATAAACAAATAGAAGAGAGAGCTAATTCAGTATTTTCCTTTAGCAAGATCAATTCTTACATTTAACATATTCTTCCAGACGTTTTAAAATCATATAGGGTTCATATATATATACATGTGTGTGTATATATATATATATATATATACATCTATATACACACATATATCTGTATATATATATATATTAAACACATATATGTGTGTGTATATACACACACACACACACACACACAGATATACTTTCCAATTTACTTTAAAATAGCCTTTGTTACTTTTATCTTTTCTACCTGTGTACTCTTCACCCCCTTAATATAGAATCTTCCTTCTTGCAAGAGTATGGAATGTTAGATATTCATTTTAGGTATGATATGTGTAGAAGTTTTTAGTTACATAAAATAAAATCTGTTTTCTCTTTTTCCCTTAACCATTATTTTATCTCTTTATCGTGTTCTGAACCTTCTTCCCCAATTCTGTTCTTTAAATGTACTAAATAAATTCAAACTTTTGGTGACCTCTTTCAGAGTTCTTCTACCTAGAGATTGCTTTGGATGATGGGATAAGAAGCAGCAGATGTGTTGGTAGAAAATGTGTTATAGAAGCTGAATTTTCTTTATTATTATCATTTTTTTATATATCCTTATCATGCTAAGAGAATTAGGAAAAGTGCTTTAATGTTGCATAATTGAACCTGTTTATAAAGCTGGGCTAGGATAACCAAATTGTAAAAGTTTATCAGTTTCTTGATGAAGTTTTAATTGAGCCTAATTTCAAGCTAGCCTTACTTTTATAAGGTTTGTGTTTTGGACTCTAGGCTCTTGGAAAGGAAAGGCTGCCCTGCCAAAGTGCTGCTGTTGGTAGGAGAGGGCAGGAGACTTAAATGTCACTCTCTTTTCCAGAAGACAGTGCTTTGATCCTTTCTTTGTCCTTAAGTGTGTTTTGGGATTGCCATGGGAGGACCCTCCAGGTGGCCTGTTGTGGAGAGAGAGGATTTCTACATAGGGTAGTATTTTGAAGGATCTTGTCAACACATGGCCAGAAGTGAGTCTGGTACAGTGTACCTTATGGTTGGTGCTGATGTTTTACCAGCTGTAAATCTCACATGTGAGTTGGAGTAGCCCCTTGACATTAGTCTGTGGGTGGATATTTGTCTAGGATTCTATATATCCAATGGGTACCTCGTTGACCCTCATTATTATTTCACTGCAATGTGAGCATGATTTGGAAATGATTTTAAAAATGCTATGCCATTCCTTGCCCATCGCCTTCAATTTGGGAATCATAACTTTGTGTTTTGTAGACCTAGGGACACTGTCCTGTTTCCCTTAGTTTTTATTAAGTATTCTGGAGAGTTGGATTTTGGTCACTGCCATGTAAGGGTAGAATACTAAGAATTGTATGTTAGCTGACTTTGAACTGATAGAGAAAAAGAGTATGAATATATGGGGACCATCTTTGTGGGAAAAAGAAGGTAGTCAGTGATAATATACAGCTGTTATAAACTCTTAGTAAAAAGTAACGTGTTTAAATGTTTTATTGGGGCTGGGGTTGTGGCTGAGTGGTAGAGCACTTGCCTGGCACGTGTAAGGCACTGGGTTCGATCCTCAGCACCACATAAAAATAAGTAAATAAAATAAAGGAATAAAAAATGTTTTATTATCCTGATCACCTACTTGAAACAGTCATTTTCCATTTACCAGCAGTGAAATGTCTATGGCACACAGTATTCTTTGTGTATATATAATGCACATTAAGTTTAGGTCTGACTGTATATAACCTAAGAAACAAAACAAAATAACAAAGACTAAAATGAGGTATAGGTCTGGGGACATAGCCCACGGGTAGAGACCTTGCCTAGCATGTGCAGAGCCCTGAGTTTGAGTCCTAGTGCTGCAATAAATAAACAAAAAAATAAAATAAGGTATACATTTATCTTTGAAAAGAAGCCTGAGGATTTTAGGGTAGCTCCATAGGGTTATCAGGGCCCCAGGTTCCTATTTTTTATTCTATCATCCCAGTATGTGACTTTCATCCTCACTTTAGCCTCCAGGTCCAAGAGGCTACTGGAGGACCAGATATCTGATCCAAGTACAGGCCTGAAGGAGGTGGAAAAGCAGAAGTGCAGACTGAGGTGCTCCTAGTGACTGGGTCAGCTCCCATTAATTTCTCAGAGATCTAGTACAACATGATCACATAAATGTGACTAGCAGCAAAGGAGGCTGGAAATAGAGGCTTTTATGCTGGGTGGCATTGAGTCCCACTAATAATCAAGGTATGATACCAAGGACAAACACATCTGGAGGGGAGGCAGCCAGCGGTGTTGTCATGGAATCTTTTTGTTTATTTTGTGGTACTGGGGATTGAACCCAGGGTGCTCTGTCACTGAGCTATATCTCCAGTCCTTTTTTTTTTAATATTTATTTTTTAGTTATAGTTGGACACAATACCTTTATTTTACCTATCCATTTTTTTATGTGGTGCTGAGGATCGAACCCAGGGCCTCCTGCGTGCAAGGCGAGCGCTCTACCGCTGAGCCACAACCCCAGCTCCCCCATTCTTTTTTAGTTTGAGACAGAGTCTTGCTAAGTTGTCCAGGCTGGCCTTGTACTTATGATCCTCCTGCCGCAGCCTCCCAACCAGCTGGGACTATAGGCTTGTGCCATCAGGCCTGGCTTTGCCATGGAATCTTTTTTTTTTAAATTTTTAAAATTTTTTAGTTGTAGCTGGACACAATACATTTATTTTACTTATTTATTTTTATGTGGTGCTGAGGATTGAACCCAGGTCTCTCACATGCAAGGCGATCGCTCTACCACTGAGCCACAACCCTAGCCCTGCCTTGGAATCTTAATGCAGGATATGTATTGGGAAAAACAGTTTACTCAGATATTTAGCATCATACAACCAAACAAATTTAGCTGGGCGCTGGGACATATGGCTCAGACTCCTGGTTTAACTAATGCCTTACACTGCTTTACCACATCAGATCATTAACTTAAACATCGCATCTTAAAACTACTTGTAAAAGGCCACTGGCTATAAAAATGGATTTATGTCTCCCTGCTCCATCAAATCTGGGGAAAACCAGTTATTTGGTTGTTAGTAAAGACATTAGTGAAGGATATCTTTTAGTGGGAAGATTGTCTTTTTTGGGATAGGTTTGTGGATTTTAGGATTTTGTATAGCAGGTGATTTGGCATGAAGGCACTTGGCAGAATAGCAGTTTAATAGTTCTCTTAAAAGTTAAATTAGGCTGGGTGTGGTGGTGCACACCTGTAATTCCATCAGCTCTGGAGGCTGAGAAAGGAGGATCCCAAGTTCCAGGTCAGCCTCAGCAACTTAGTGAGGCCCTAAGCAACTTAAGTGAGACCCTGTTTCAAAATAAAAAGCACTGGAGATGTGGCTCAGTAGTTAAGTACCCCTGGGTTCAATATCTGGTGCAAAAAAAAAAAAAGTTAAATTGGTGGGACTGGGGGTGTGGTTCACTGGTAGAGTGCTTGCCTAGCTTGCATAAGACTGTGGGTTTCATCCCCAGTAATGCCAAAGGGAATATAAATAAATAAATAAAATGAAAAAAGAGAAAAAAATCTAAAAACTTCCCAAAGGAAAGGTAGTATTATTAACTTTTATTTTTATTATCAAGTAACTGATAGGTATTCCAGAGAATTGTATTTGGCCCCTGTCATGTAAGGGTGTAACACTAGGAATTATATGTTAGTAGACTTTGAACTGATAAAGAAAAAAATATGAATACGTGGGTACTGTCATGGGGGAAAAGGAAGTAATTGGTGATAAACCTCCAGCTGTTATAAAGTCTTAGTAAAAAGCCTCTCCTTCTGGGGCTGGGGTTGTGGCTCAGCCACAGTGCGAGGCCCTGGGTTCAATCCTCAGCACCACATAAAAATAAATAAATAAAATAAAGGTATTGTGTTCATCTACAACTAAAAAAAAAAAAGACACAGGAAATCATAAAAGTAAAAATGGTGTTTTTCTGTGCATTTACATGTATTTATTTTCACTGCTCA